AATTCAGCATGCTATATTCTGCTCCATTCAAGATGCTAATAGTTACAGGAAAAGTATTCACAGGGGCAGACAAAGAACCCTTTGGGGGCCTAACAAAATTCCAAAGTGCAATAGGAGCATTACAGTACTTGACCAATACTAGACCAGACCTCTCCTATACTGTCATTCATCTTAGCTAATTCCTTAATTGACCCACCTCAGCACATTGGCAAGCTATCAAATGCGTATTGCATTACGTAAAAGGAATAGTTCTACATGGCTTACAAATTAGGAGATATAAGCATCTTGACATCATGTCATATTTTGATGCAAATTAGGAAACATGTCCTAGTGACAAGCACACGGTAACTACTTACTATATTGGTTTGGGTAGAAATCTCCTCTCCTAGTCGTTTAAGAAGCAAAGTGTAGTTGCCTGATCCTCCATTGAGCCTGAACATAAAGCCTTAGCTAACTGTGTAATGGAGATTGCATGGCTTCATTCTCTCTTAATAGAGCTCAAATTTCCAATAAAACAAATTCCTATCATATGGTGTGACATGGTGTTATAGTGTTAATGCAGCAGCATTGGCAAAAAATCCTGTATATCATTCACAAACATAACACATTGAAATTGACATGCATTTTATTTGGGGTCAAGTTCTTGCTCAACAACCGAAGGTGTGTAATGTTTCCTCCTATGAGCAGATACAGATCTTACAAAACCTTTGGGCCACACTCAATTTTTGTATTTATGGTCTAAACTTAGGGTGTGCTTTTAGCCTTCTTGTTTAAGGGGGAATGTTTATGTATCTAGTCCATTACTCAGGTGATCAAATCAACAATTCTATGGATTAAATCTAGGATACTGTTATTATGTTTGTGATTTGATATGATAAGATTACAGCATTGTAAACCTGATATAATTATGATTATGATCTAATATGTACCATTGAAAGCCTTGTATAAATTCTTCATATCTTGATCTCTAGTATGTGGGAGCACATGGCATGTACTTTCTAGCAATGGCTTAGCTTTCTAGAAATAAGTTAGTTTTCAACCAAATCAATTAGTTTTCCAAGTCTAGAAACTTTCATTTTCAGCCTTTGTTGGCTATAATTGTGTGTGGCTTATGGTTTTGACTTCTATGCACTATTTGGTTGTTGTTTCTTCATTCAAGGTTACAGAAGTTATGCCATGGTTATTTCAAGACAATTAAGGGTAGCTTTATAGGATGCAATAGTGGTGTGCTTGGTTAGATTATTGCAGTGACTAAGTTGAAGGTAAAGGCCTATGTTACTTCTCCTAATGCTAAAAAATGTGTCCTTGGCTAGATTCAATTGCAAAATAAGGGAGTTTTATCCAAGCATTAATGGCCTTACAAAATAAAATGATATGGATTGTTGATTCTAGAGCATCATATCCCATGACTAGTTGTCATCAACTATTCACCACCTACACACCATGCTAGTAATTCAAAATTGAAGATTGCTTATGGTTAGTTTGCACTAGTAATATGAAAAAGGGAATATCTACATATTGGATTCTAAAGCTTTAGAATATGTTCTTCATGTGTCCAAACTTGATTGCAATTTTCTTTTTGTTGGTTTATTAACCAAGTAGTCAACTTATTTTGCTAAATTTCTCCTATCCCATTACATGTTTTAGGATCTATCATGTAGTATGATAATTGGTAGTGCTAAGAAGTATATATATGAAGGGCTATGCTATTTTGAAATAATTACTCAAATGAGTAATCCATACTCACTTATTGTAAGTAATTTTGCATCTACCTCTAAAATTAATGACCTTATGCTATGACATAAAAAGGTTGGTCACGCTAATTTTCATTATCTTTAATAGTTATTCCCCAATTTATGTTTCAACTAGAATATCAATATAAAATCTAGTGTAAGCTACATGAACTTACTAAACACCAGCGAAGTTCGTTGCCTATAGCTGAATATGCTCCTACCAAACTTTTCAAAACCATACACAATGACTTGTGGGGACCATCCCATGTTGCCAACCGCACCAATAATAAGTGGTTCATTTCTTTCATAGATGACAATACTCGTTAGTCGTCTCTATTGGGTCTACTTTTAAAAGAAATGCTTGAGGTTTCATATGTATTCCATAATTTTTGTGCTATGATAAACAGTCAATTACATTCTAGTTTTAAAATTTTACACACTAATAAGGGCATTGAATATTTCAACAATCTCTAAGTATGTTTCTTCACAAACATGGCATCATTCACAAAAGTACTTGTGTTCATACCCCTAATGGAATAGAGCAGCTGGGAGAAAAAATAAACATATTTTTGATGTGGCAATAGCCCTTATGTTCACTTGTAATATTGTAAAATATTTAAGCAATTCTCCTTATAACATATCTTATAAATAGAATGCCAAGTCAAGTATTGTCCTTTAAATCACCTATCAAAACATTACATAGTATATACAGTGTTTCCTGTGTTAAGATCAATATTCTTCTCTATGTTTTTGGTTGTAAATCATTTATCCACCTTCACTAAAATCCTAAACCGAATGCTGTATTGTTAAAAATATTTTTCTAAGTTACACACCAACAAAAGGGTCACAAGTATTATGATCCTGCCTCTAAATGCCTCTTTGTGAGTGTTGATGTTGCCTTTTTGGAGGGTACCTCGTTTTATCCTAAGACTTCAATTCAAAGGGAGAGTAAGGGTGAATTTGAGACTTGGGAAAGCAAGGGACCCAATAGAGATTCAACTTCAAACTCACCGCCATTTCTTCATCCTCTTAAACATTGTTCAATTGTGCCTAATCCCAATCCTTTGTCACTAGTCTCTTCTCTTATGCCATAAACTAAGGAAACATGATGGAGATGTAGAAAAACCACAAAAGGGAGAGTTTATTTACTTACTAAAGAACATCATAAAATAGTGAGCAACTTGTACATGAAGTACTAAGAGATTTAGAACTACAGGTAGCTCTTGAAGCTAAAGGGCTAGGACAGTTAGAACCTAGGACAATTCCTAAACTCCCATATGTCGATCCATCCAATGAGCCAGATATTCTAGAACAATTAATTGAATATAATAATCTTGATTATCTTCCTATTGCTCTTAAGAAACAACCTCACTCATGTACTTTCATCCTATAAAGTGGTTTATGCCTTATAAGGCTTTTTAATTTCTTCAAGATTATGTGCTTTCACTACTAATATTAACAAGATAAAATTTCCAGCAACATAAATGAAGCTCCTGAAATACTAAAGTGGAGGAAGCCTGCTTTGGAAGAGATATATAAAAGCTCTAGAAAAAAGAACAATACCTGGGAAGAATTTCATTTACCACAAGGAAAAGAAGCTTGTAGGATGAAAATGGACTTTTACACTAAGTATGATGCTAGCTAATAGAACTTTTGATAAATATAAAGTTCATCTTGTTACCAAAGGGTTTAGTCAAACCTATGGCACAAACTATTGCTGAGATATTTGTCCTAGTTGCAAAGCTTTAGCACAGTCAAAGTCCTATTATAATAAGATGAAAATCTTGATTGGCTACTTGATCAACTGGATATCAAGAATTCTTTGTCAGTGGTGACGTAGCAATAGAATTGTATATGAACCTTCCTCTTAGATTTGAAAACTAAGGTAAAAGCAACATAGTTTGCAAGTTGAAGAAATCCCTTATTAACTAAAGCAATCTCCCAAAGCCTGGTTGGATAGATTCTCAAAGATACTAAAAAAGTAGCACTATCAGTAAAGCCAGTTTGATTATACACTTCTTGTTAGACACATGGAAGGAAAAAGGGCCATATTAATTGTTTATGTGGATGATAGTCTTAAATGGCAATGGCATCGAAGAGAAAGAGATTGAAGAAAGTCCAAGCCTCTGAATTTGAAATAGAAGATTTGGCCCAAATGTGTTATTTTTTGGGAATTGAAGTTGCTAAGTCAAAGAAAGGAATATGTATCTCACAGAAGGATTATATCCTTGATCTCTTGACTGAAACTGGAATGCTTGGCTACAAATCAAGTGATACTCCTATTGAAATAAAAAGGAAGAGGAGGAAAGCTAGTTGACGAGGAGATATATTAGAGTTTGTTGAGAAAATTAATATACCTATCACATACGACCTGATATTGCTGTTGTTGTGAGCTTCGTAGGTTAACATATGCACTCATCAAAGGAAATTCACTTATGAGCAGTGTATAAAATTTTGAGGTGCTTAAAAGGTTCTTTTTTGGAAAAGAACTATTCTTCAAAAGAAGTGAACAATCCAATGTAAAAATATTTACTAACGTTGATTAGGCGGGAACTTTAGATAATAGAAGATTTGCATCTAGGTGTTGTACCTTCATATGGGGCAACATGGTAACTTGGTGGAGCAAGGAATTAACAGATGTGAGAGCAAGAAGTGTTCTAGAAGTTGAGTCTAGATCCATAGCTCATAGAATCTGTAAAGGCTTGTGGTTGCAAACACTTCTAAAAAACTGAGATAGTAAGAAAGCCACAAATACATCTTATAATCCAATTCAGCGAGATAGAACAAAACAGGTACGTGGAAGAGTGGACAAATATTTCATCAAGGAAAAGATTGAAAGTGTAGCTGTGTGGCTAATATACATCCCAATGAAGAAGCAATTAAGTTGTTGATGTTCTCACCAAGAGACTTCCAAGAGATAATTTTGATGAATATGTAAGCAAGTTGGGCATGATCCTTTATTAGCATTATTTCTCTTTTTTTTCCCCCTCAGTGTATATATTTAGGATGTATATATGGTGCTATTCAAAATAATAAGATACATCTACTTTCTCCCAAATATTATGCAGGTATGCATATGAACATAAACATTTTAGCGCAAATGAGTGAAGAAAGTGCATATGTGGCATTGGCGTATTCTGCAGTGAGAATTGGGGAGGTGTATAATAATGTTAGAAGATCATTCAATGAGACATACGAATCATTTAATCGAAAATGACTTAATAATCTACCAAAGGGATTCTGAGATATTGCTTTTTCTGTCTCAAGTATGCAGCAGATAACTCTGAGACATGATATGCATTTAGGCATGCACAGATCAGATCAACCTTGTATTGATTTGCAGGTAAGCAATTAATTTCCTTTCTGAAGATTTTCTCTCACCATTTGGATGATGAGGTAGAAACTGATGACTTTTTACATAAAAGCATATATGAAAACATTAGTCAAAGGAAGTCATATTCTTGCAAATAAATCATTCAATTGTTTGAACACGGATTATCTGAGACCGCTTTAATTTGAAAGGATCACATTAACAACAACAAAAGGCCCCTCAGCACTAATTATAATTGGTTATTCGTAATCATTAGCATTTCTCTAGAATATCATTCTCCAGAAAAGAAACAACCATTGGTAGAGAAGCCTACTTAAGTGTAAACAAAATGGTTATTAATCTTCTATCATAGGAAGTAAAGATGATGACAAATTTCTTGAGAACTATATTAGGGGTTTGACTGGGTGTGTGTGCAATTGTCTCTAGGGCAATACTCTAAGAAAAACTTAGCTAAAAGAAAAACTAAGCATAATTGTTAGCATGTGCATATGATCTCATTTCATAGCCCCATTTTAATTCGACTATTTGAGGCTGGCATGAATGCTAAATCTCGATTAACATTAATTCCCGTGAACACAAAAGAAATGGCTAGTAAAACCAATAATAAGCAGCTAATATATTACTTAATTATAACCTTTATCAAACATATAGCCTCTAATGGTGTTGCTAGTTTTCACCCTTAAGTTTGTTGGATTCGTTGTAATTTTATTATAAGTTATAATAAGTGCATAATTCTTTATGCTTGGTTTACAGCATCACCTAATTATTCTGCATGATTTTTATCCCAAATAGATTTTTTTTCCTATAAAAATCTTTACTTTCTTGCATCAATCAGCTAATAAAAAAATTGTAACTTTGCATTCTCTAATACCTAGATCTTTACATTTTAAAGTTCTATATCTCTAATTCTGAACATAAACAATCTATACCAGTTAATTGTATGAAGTGCATGCATGCCAATTAGCATGTTAATCAAGACTTAATAAATCTCTTCAAACTTAAGGAACCAACCCCACATTCTTTTATCTGGGCAAACAAAGTTCACAGACAACCTGATGTAAAATCCTCAATGGGTTTGTCTTGGAAAACTTATGTTACAGATTGGAAGTGAAAGCTACAATAAGCTGAGCCATGAAATTGAAAAAAGGACTCATGAACTGAGGTATGGAGGTGTACTGCACAACAAGCACTGTGTAACCAACCATATAGCTACTGTATTGTATTAATGAATTACAGGGTTATTTCACTTGAACAGGCAATTGAATGGAGACGAGTTGCAAGATTCCACAATTCAAGAATTACAAAAACTAGAGGAACTGCTTGAAACGGGTTTGATGCGTGTTTCAAAGGCAAAGGTTGATTATTTTGTTTCCCTTATACTGGATTAATGGTACGCAGGAATTAATTGAGGGCAGGAAAAAGGAATTGGAAAAAGAATTCTGGGTGCTTTCATATGTTTGTTATGCAGAAACCAAGATTTTATAGGAAGATTGATTCCACCAAAATTGGTGAAACCTGATCCCACCTTTGGGACAATGGAATTGGTTTCATTCTATAAAAATGAGTTATTTAATCATTTTGTGCCCATGTCACTCTCCTCTATCCCTCCCTCTTCTTCCTAGATAGCTCTATCTCCTCTGTCCACTCTCTCCTCCTTCTCTTCTCTCTCATTTACCTTTTTGTCCCACCTCACTCCCAATCTCTCCTCTCCCTCCCTCCCTCCCACTCTCTCCCCTCTCTATCCTCTTTCCTTTCTTTTTTTGTCATTAGGTTGTCTAAGTGTGAGTAGATTTAAGATGATGTGAGATGTCCTACGCCAAATAAACTTAGAATTAATAACTAATATAAAATAAAAATAAAGGACCCATCATTTATGAAGAATGGGGAGCGATTGCTTAGACAAGAGAGAGGGGAAAGGGGCAAGAATATTATTAGCCAAAGCCTAAAATCAAAACCTGGTGTTTGGAGCATCTTTCACATCGGGAGTTTGTGGACTCACATTAGAGAAAGGGAAATTGTTAGGTTATCTAAGTGTTAGTAAATTTAAAAAGATGTAGGAAGTCTCACATTGGATAAAATTAACCTTAATAACTAATATAAAATAAAAAATAACCCATAAATATATGTCTTAAGTTTTGATTTAAGATGTGATGTCATTTAACTAATCTTGTCCCTTCCTCCTCTCCTCTCCTCCCCCATTTCTAACACCTGTGATGACAAACATGATTTTAGACCAAAATATGCCACTAGTAGTGCCAGTTCCTCCAAAATTCCTTCTAATATGCCAAACAGGCCATAGATAGAAAATGTTTGGGAGATGTGAGGAAAAGGAAACCAGTGAAAGAAAATGAAGAGGTATGTTTACTCTTGTTTGAAATAATTTTATCTTGTAGAACCCATTAAATTGGGAGGACTTTAGATCAAATATTCATGGGATAAATTTTGTTAATTTTCTATTTTAAAAATCTAGACCATCAAATTTGATTTGGACAGGCCCATATCATCATATGTGCACTCTAGGAATGTTGAGGTAATTTGGGTCTCTCTGTCCTGCAATAAAAATCTTGACAGTACGTCTAATTACTACTCATTAAATCATCTTTGTGGACTTTCATCTTATAAGATTATAGTTTCTTATGTGTTTCAGGATAAAGCAATGATAGATGAGACCTTCGAACTCAAGAGAAAGGTATTTTGTCCATTAGTAATTGAGAAAGTAACAGCTTTAATTGATACTAAAAGAAAAGTTGCTCTATTGAGTAAATTAGAGAGACGAACAGTCTTACATGAGCAGTTCACCATTCTTTTAAGTCTTTTTTTGCCATGCAAACAAGATTGTGGAAATTAAATAGCGCAAATAAGTAGTACATTTCATTCTGTTTTATCCTGCTTAACTTCCATGATGATAGAAATACACAGTAAGTATATAATTTATGTGCTTAAGAGGTGTACAAAGTATGTCTTGCTTGCCAATAACGAGTCTCAACTTAGGAGGTTTGATATAGAGGTTTTGGTCCCACTACTTCCAAATTTTATTTCATCAGATAAAGTTTTTTATTTTTATTTTGAAAAAAACTACTGAATTAATTAAAGGATATTGGTGGTATCCCAGTAATGTGTTATTATATAGGTTTGGTAATATATACTATTTATTACCTTAATCTCTCCCTCAAGCTTCATCATATCTGATTCAGGGTAAGCAGCTAATGGAAGAGAACAGGAGATTGAAACAGGTGATATATTATGACTATGTTTTTCAGATCCTGCCTAGTTTTTGTTGTTGTTGTTTTTGATGCAAATGCTTGGTTATTTTTTTTCTCTGTTAATTATTGCAAATGATAGAGGATTGGAATGAGATAAATGATAAAGAAAGTTTATGTTTTCAGGTTACACTAGAACAAGGACAACCATATGACTCTGTGATCTCGTCCAGCTCATCTGATACTCCTCAACACTTCAAAGATTCTGATACCTCTCTCAAGTTGGGGTTTTATTGATCATATATAATATTCAATTATATATGGAATTGAGTAGCATTTAAAAGAAGATATGATTGGATTTATTTAAATCAATTGAGAACTAGAAAAGAACAAAGAGGGGATGGAACTCAAGCCCCACACAAGAGAGCACATACATGGGATTTTCCTTCAGAATGTGAGTAAATATCAACCAACTCAACTTTACTTTTCCGATCAGGACATCTAGTCCTGACTTTAATAGATTTAGTTTTTATAATTTTTTAATCCAATAAATTATGAGAACTAAAGTTTAAAGACTCAATCATTGAGAAAAAATTTCGGGATTAAAATGAATATTATCCTATAATTTTAACACAAACCAGGTTGTTAGTTTTTAACATATACAGTATGAAAATGAGGGTTAACCAGCCTAACTGGACCGAAAAATCATTAAACAAGCGCCTTAATTTAATAAAATGTTTTGTTTATGGCTGATTTAATCACAGTTTAATTATAATTTTTGACCGGTTCAATGAATGACTTGTCTGTTTTCAGTATTTTAGTTCTTAAGACAACAATTCTTGTGAAGTATCATTTGCTGCCGCTGCTGAAGTCCACAAGGGCTTAATCAGTTTCTGATCATATATAAAGTGCATTATTACAGCAAGATTTCAAGATACATATGTAACAGCCCCGTCGAATCGCCAAAGCTTTGCTAAAATCATCATCTTTCAGGTTATAAAAAGACATCATGAACCCAATTCAACAGTTTCCATATCTGAACCACACGTCTCCTCGCTTTTGTTGCTGGGCCGGGCTGCAAACAAGTCCCAAAAAAAATCCAGCTGGGCTATATACTCAGGCTGACCCACATCGAAAATCTTAAGTTTCCAGAGATCATTATATTTGACACCCTCAATGACGAGTGAACAGCTATTTGTTGGTTTATAGACCAATTTAACAGTATAGCACTATAGCTTATCTTCTTGATTATAACAATTGTTACAATACAAATCATCGTTTACTAGTTTATGTTTCTAAAAAATATTGGTTAAAATTTTGATTTTTTTATTTAAATTTTTAAATCTTTTTAATTGTACCTTTGAGTGTAATAAATACTCTCTTTAGTCGAAAATATAAATAGATTTTAAAATTTACATACAAATAAAGTTCTTATTCTCATAAAAATATATATTATTTTTTCTTTTTATCCTTATTCCCAATTATCAATGAACTTCATGGTGAATAAAATAACTTTATACAAGAATTTAGGCTAATAAATACAAAGGGTAAAATTGAAAAAACAATTTTTATATGTATTCAATTGCTTATATTTTAAAATGAGGTTAATTGAAGGAAAATGCTGTGTTTTGAACTGGAAAGAGTATAACATTTGACTTATTTAAGACATTTTGATTAATTACTCAATAAAATAAGGTGTAACTAAAAAGTATATAACACCCACCTGATGCTTTATATTTTGGACCACACAAATCTTCTAAAAAATGACCTGCATTATAGTCTAGAGAGAGTAAAAGTTTGAGGTGTAAATTTTAAAATTTTAATTATATTTTCCATTAATTCTCTTTTAGTTCTTTAATTGTTATTCTCCTTTTTTTTATAATAATGAAAAAATTTCATTAAAGGTCTTTGAATATGGTATAATTTTAATTGTGGCCCAAAAAAAAAATGAACTTTCACTACAAGTCTGGAGGACTCAAATGAAATAAAAAGTCAACTTACAAGTTTTGCAAGTAAACTAGAATAAACACACCTTCTTGTTATTCTTATAATATTATTTATAAAAATCATAACTTGAATTATTATTCTAATAAATTTGTAAAAATCATAGTTTGACTTATTATTACGATAATATTACTTATAAAAAATATAACTTGATTTGTTATTTCAATTATATTATTTGTAAAAATGTAATATAACTTATTATTCTAATAATATTTCTTGTAAAAATTATAACTTAATTTATTATTTTAGTAATAAAATTTTGGTTATTTAATTAAAAAAATACTAAAAAATTATTTTCCTTTTATCTCTCGAACCTATAATAAAATTTTAAAATATTTTAAATCTCAATTGAAATTATGCCATAGTCAAAAGTTTTTAAATGAAATTTTCCCGACAGCAATTGTCATTCTCTTCTCAATCCGCGATTAGTTTGCCTTTAAGAAAAGTCAAATTGAATACTCTCTCTCTCTCTCTAAAAGTCTTAGCCAACAAATTTATTCGTTTCCCTTAAATTGTGGTTCGTAACTCTAATTTTTTTCCCCCACTTCATGCCCTCTTATCTTATTATCTATATAGCTCCTAAAGTTGAGAATGGGCCAGGCCTTCAATAAGAAACTTATAATTTAACCTACTTTAAATTTTCTTATTAAATATGCTTGGATTAGGTTCATATTTTTAATTAGATTTATTTAATGAGGTCAAGTTTATTTTTTTAAAGCTTAGCCTATGAATACAATAGGCTAGCCTATTTATATACATACATACATACATCAGTTTCATCATTTAATTTTTAATCAATCTATTTCTTTTTTATTTTTAATTATATTAGACTTATATATTAATTTTAATATTATTAATTTATTGTTATATTATATTGTAATTGGTAAGTCCTTTCAATTATTATATATTATAATTAATAAATCAAATTATATATTATATACTATAATAGTTATAAAGTATATTTAAAATATTTAAAACTAAAACGTGGACATGTTTAAGATATTTAATTTTAAATAAGCTTTCAGGTCATATTAGATTTTAGGTAGGCTTAGGCTTGAGCCGTAAAAAAACAAACTTTATACAAACTTCAATTTAGACTTAAACTTAAGCTTTTGATTTACTATACTGACTCAAGTTTATTTGATCAAAGGTTAGTTTGATCAAATCTATTTTCACTCATATTAGCACCTAATTCTTGTTTAGTGGGAGGTTAGTGGGAGATTTTAATGGGTAAAATTTTAATATTAATAAAATTATAAAAAAGATAAAATATAAAATAAAGAGTAAAAAAATAATTAAAATCTTTTAAATCTAGGTCTCCATTTTTTTTTAAATCCAACTTATTAACTTATTAGAATCTTCCTTCCCATTCCATTCTTTCCATTTCCTTCCGACTAAGAAGATCACAAGGTAATAAATTTCACTCCTAAATCCTTTTGGATAAAAAAGGAAATTATAGGCCATATGTATATATGGAAAGTATGAAGACATTGTGGACGAGTACGAGGGTACGGATTGGATAATTTATTTCACTGCCAAAATCTCTGTTTGGGATAAGATTTTCACGTGCCCATTTGTACGGTGAAGGAAAAGTGACCACACAATTTTCTGACGTCTGACCCATTCAACGTGCTTTCGTCTTCCAACGTCCATCTGAGAATTTGTTAAGCAGAGTAAATGGACCAACGTCCATCACATTAAATAAAATTTTCTCCTAAATTAATTAAACATTCTTAAAAAATCCTGCTGATTCGTACTTTTTGTCAGCTGAGGTAATAATAGGTACACGCTTTCTAAAATATAAACAATTTTTAATAAAAATTTACATAAAAATAAATAGAGTTGTAAGAAAGATGAACCGAATAAGACTTAGGCTTAATTTAAAATTTACTCTCTTTTATAAAAATAATTGAACTAGACAACCCATAATTTAGTATGATTCAAATATAACCTCAAATAAAATGAGACCATACTTGATATATAAAATTGAAAATTAGTCTTAATAGTTTATTATAATTGATGTTAATAAATTATAAAATTTGTTAGTAATTGACATTTGATGTTAATAAATTAATAAATAAAGTTAATAATTTAATAATTGATATTGTTTTCCATGATTGAATAATTGATGTCAAGTCTTATTTATTTTTTTATTAAAAAATGTAAAGTATTTTTTGAAGAGTTAGATATTAAAAAATATAACGTATTTTTCATCTTTCGAGGTTATTATTATCTTTTTCTTAAAAGTGTCCCTATTGATAATGACTTTATATTTATTGTAGGGTATTTAATAGGAATAAATATAAAAAGATAGAATTAGTTTAAAAGTAGGTAACTATTTTATTAGGGGATGAGATTTGCTAAAAAATGTTTTAATTTTTGAATAGAGAGAGTAATTATTAACATGTCAACTATATAATTTGTAACTCATATTAATAATTAATAAGTAAAGTGAGAAAATTAACAACTACTAATAATTTTATATAATAAGTAAAATGTATTTTGATCTTTTAAAGTTAAAATTATTTTTATTTTTATTTTTTAAATTAAAATAAAATTTTAAAATTTTTTGAGGCTAATTAGTAATTATGTCACCGTCTGATTCTTATTTAATATTTTCTCAAAATTTAAAGGATTAAAAAATGAAACCCAAGTAAGACTATGCATCCAAGATACAGGAGATTCGAAGAGTACGAGGGTACAAAATGTCCCAGTCTGAGGTAACTGATAGGCATGTCCATGTCCTCTTAAACAAACATCATACTTAATGGAGACAGGCTGGGCTTAGCTTGCCACTTGCATATTCCAACCAATAAAATAAGGTGTGGTTTAAAGCTTGACTTTTCTTTTCCAAAATATTATTATTTAAATAAAAATAATTCAGACAGGACACCAGCTTTCTCGCTTGCCCATAAATGGAAATTCTGAGCCAATTGCAGTAAGTCATATCTTTATCTAATACAGTTATATTTATTGCAACCTTATCACCTTCCTCTCCCCCCCCCCTCGCTCCCTCCCTCTCTCTCTCTCTCTCTCTCTCTCCCAATTCCAGTGGGCAATTTTGTTCTGATTTTCAAGCTCCAACACTCAGGCACACAAAAGGAAAGAAAATCCAAAAAAAGGTAATCTACGAAAAAGGAAACCCAGAATTTTTCTGACCATGTTTCTGATCAATCTTCCTTTCTTGATCTTGCATCTCAGTCTCATGCTACAGTAACTCATTTAACTGATTATTTCTTTCCATCTGTTTTATGTCTCGTTGCTTTTTAATCTTTCCACTTTCAGACTTCAGAGTCTGGGTAAAGCTCTGGTTTTTTCCCCCCTGGGATTATCAAAAGCCTAACCCAGTAAAACCCTCATGTCTGTTTTCATTCATTTTCTTTTCTGGGTATTTTCTCAAGAACCTGAAACAATGTTAGTTAATATTTTCCGTCCCAGAAGCAAATTGTCTGCACTGTTCTGGATTGGATCTGATGCTTTTTTTTTGGGTTATTTTCACGGATTGATTTTTGATTTTTTGTGTAGATCAGAAGGAGACAATGACGAGAAAGAAGATAGAGATAAAGAAGATCGATAACATAGCTGCGAGGCAAGTGGCGTTCTCAAAAAGAAGAAAAGGTCTTTTCAAGAAAGCGAAGGAACTTGCTACGCTCTGTGAAGCTGAGATTGGTCTCATGGTCTTTTCTTCTACTGGAAAGCTCTACGACTATGCTAGCTCAAGGTCTCTTTCTTCTCTCTGATCAATAATCTTTATCTTAATATATATATATATATATATATATGTAAACCAATATTAGTTATTATATTAGTGTATCACCTTGATTTAATTAATCCGCAATCCCTTTTTTTTACACATGTTTTGAATGCTTTCTTAGCCATTTAAGAATGAGCGAATATTTTCCGTGAAATCGTATGATAGCTTCAGAGAAAACGTGTGAGAATTCTAAAAATAATTATGAAGTTGTTCTCTGCGTGTGTACTGTGAGGCATGATTGATCATTCAAAACTTGTGCGAAATCTTAATTTCAATTTAAAAAATTCCAACAATGTGATAGCAAAGTTTCTTGAGGTGGGCCTGGATAAGTAGCTTTTAATTTTTGGTACTTTTTAAAAGTTATTAAAAAAAATCGTGAAATGAGAGTGGATTTTAAAAATGTTACGGTTACTCAATTTACACGCAACAAACTTAATTTTCGTAACTTTTCAAACAGACTTTGTAAATGAGATTTGATTTTCTTATTAATTTTCTATATCATTCTTATGAAAAACACAAGCCATACAAGTATCATTCTTATGAAAAACACAAGCCATACAAGATGACGAATCCTTTTTTTTTTTTTCTCATACGTGTTTAGCTTGCTGATTCTTTTTGAATTGTCAAAGTCTTTCATGTATATTTCTTAATCAAATAGCATGAGAAATTGAGAATATTGAAGTTTGCATTCATATGTACTAAGATATTTTAACAATTAAAATAATGATATATTGGAGTGAATAATTATGAATTTTATTTTTTGTATATATATAATATTTGAACAATTTATTATATATATTTTTCAATATATCAGACTTTATATTTTCTTTAATACTTACAATTTAACATGTCAAATTTAATTTTATTTAAAATTTTTATCACATTTTTAAACATTTCTAATATATTATATTTTTATAACAAAAATTACAAATCATTATAAATTAATATTCTTTTTGATAACTGTACATTTAAAAATATATTTCACTATATGTAATTCATATGATTTTCAGTTTACTAGATTGATTTTTAGAAAAATGTATCTAAATATATATTTCATTATATCAATTGACTTTCACTAAATTGGCTTTTGTTAAATAAACTTTTAATAAAATTCCTTTTGATTAATGAAAAACCAAACATGCACTTAGTGTTTTACCTCTAGAGAAACCATCATATGTAAAAGGCCAGCTAATCAAAAGGAAAAAAAGGATCAGAATAAATTGTAAAAACCTTTCAATGTGGTAAAAGTTTCAATTTCGATAATATATGGCTATTGTGTTGCTTTGAAGCCCATTTCAAGACTTTATTATCACATTATTTGATTGCAAGCAGAAAAACAGAAAATTAAGGGGAAAAGGGGATGGTTGGAGGAGAGAGGAATCACTGTATGCACTTGGATTTTGTAGCAAACACGCAAGTTGGGATATTTATAAATTTTAATTAGGAAAATTGTTATTAAAAACATACGATTTTAATTCTTTTTTATATGGGATTTCATCGTGGATCATAATTGATGGAAATATTTTTCCATGGTCCATGTTAGAAGAAGAGACATCTAAAAACACATTAACATATATAGTTTAATTTTTAGACGAAATATAAATGTTTGACAATTTTAGATTTAGATTAATAGGAAATGCATGATTCATTTGAATAGTATTTCTGTTTGACATTGATTGAAAGCTTAACATAAAAACTGAAACAGGATATTATATACTGGATGCTTGCGGCCAAGTGATTTATTCGGTATGATATGTATAAGCAATTGTGATTTGTGTAACACCTCTAAAAAATTGAAACATAAAGCGTGAAAAAGAATGCTAATTACTGGGATACGAAACCTATAAAAAAACTTGATCAAGCAATAGAACTCATAATCAAATAAAATTAAAATCAAGAAGTTTAGGGGAAAAAAGAAGGAGAAGAAGTTCCCATCAATTATGTGAGGTCATGTCTGGAAGATGGAATTTCCAGCGGAGGCCTATTACAGGAGAGGGAATTTCCACCATAATAAGGCCCAACACAAACCCAAAATAAAGCTCTAATGCGCGTGCAAGTTTAGGCATCCAGGACAAATAACCAAGTACGCAACTATGTATAATCGTAAACAGTGTTTACAAGGAAATCTGTCGTAACAGATTGAGTCAACCACCATATCATAAACCATGGCCATCAAGGGAAGCAAAGGGAAAGTTGCTCTCTAAGTGAGAGGTGTCCGTTTTACTTTTATCTGAGTTTGCCTTTGAACTCATCGAGGAATAGAGACGTAGTTGTGTAGTGTGATGGAGATGGAGGTTGAGATGGATGATGGTGGTTAGTGATGTAATGGCGATAGTGGTATGGTGGTTCAAAATTGGCATCATGATGATGATCGGAGGATCGGAAGGAGGATTTTAGTAGACAAGGTTATGTCCAATCTGCCTATGAATTGGAACAATGCAAGTCCGAATGTGAAGAAAGGCTAGAACCTGTGATAGGAATCAAGTGATGAGTTAGAATTCAAGGTTTAGTATTTTTGATCCATTGCAGAGTATTGGAGGATCAAGGACTAGATTTAGAGCTAAGAGAATGAAAGAAATCTTAAATTCATAATTAAGGATGCCCTACATGACCGAAGAGTCCTAAAAGCAAATGGAGTTCTAAAAGACATAATAAAAACTCTTAGTATATTGGACCTAACCAAGATACTCAGGTTCATGAGTTCAATTAGTTTAGTGAATATTCCTTCTTAAATTTAGAAAATTATTTTATCTTATTTTACATTCAACTTTAAATTTAAGAAAATTAGTTCATTTTGTTTAATTTCAAATAATGATAAAATATATCCATTAAGGATATGATCTATCCATTAGGAATCCTATATTAGCTAGAATGTGTTATTTAGGTTTTTAAAAGTCTAACTAGTTTAGTTTCAATTGTATTTTTAAAAGACTTATTAAATTTTATGAATTGAATTTTCTTTTGATTGTAAGGCTATTTTGATTAGTGTTATTCTCTGTGAGATAAGATGCCATGAGATTTTAGATTATTGTGAATTATCGTTCGGTTGCCTCGTATCATTTTGATATCAATGCTTTGGTTGCTTTTCAAGTTGTGTCACTCTGTTCTTCATTCTTTCTCATATTTATCTTTCTCATTTGTTCATCTTTGCTTCCATATATCATTCATTTTCATTTGTGTTCTTTGTTATTTATCATATTTATCTTTCTAATTCATTCATCCTTTTTTCTCTATATTATTCATCCATCTTTTCATCTACTATATTTTTTCATCCAATCTTTCATTAAAAAAGTTAAAAAATAAAACCTCATTCAATTTGTTACTGGATTTTTTGGATCTCTTTCCTTACATATTCAGATTGAAAAAAAAGGCAACATACTCCAAAAGGAAGAACTAGCATCATTATAGGGGAAAAAAATTCCTGCAAAAAGAAATTTTCGGGGAAAAAAACAAAGAAGCTGAAAAGTTGATTTAAAAAAAAAGTTAAAAGGGAGACAAGGAGAG